TTTTCTTTCGTGTAATTCAATGTTTATATGAAAGTAGCTGTTTCAGGAGGACTTTCTTTCAGTTTGTGTCTGAAAGTTACTTCTTTGCATGATCTACACATCCATTTATAGAGTAACTTATTTTCAAATTGATTACTTCCTTCTTTTCTTTGGAAGATTCCCTCTTCCTTTTTTTTGTATCAAGATGGAGTAGTAGAAAGCCAAAAACTTTCTTTCTCAAAAACTTTTCTGTAACTCTCAGAATATCAAATGAATAAATTCATTTTTCAGTACGATGAACATCTCACGCAGTTGGAAAACAAACTGGTATTGGCCCAGGAAAGAATAATGCAAGATGATGACCAAGCATGGATGGGCGCAGATGATGAGAACTATACAATTGCTGAACCGGATCGTATTGTAAGGGAATAATAGATTTGAAAAAAAAATTTGAAAGTAATATATTTTTTTCATTCAGAGCCAGGAAAGTTCGCCAGAACACCTTTCGTCTGTAAAATCCCAACTAGACGAGTACGATCTCATAGATGTGGAAGGCGAAGGGCTACAATTAGAAGATACAATGTTCCCTAAGCCTCCAAAGAAGAAGAAACTCAAAAAAGAAGAAGCGCATACCCTGGAAGAAGATTTGCAGTTTTCAAGTGAAGAAGAACTGGATGAGGTTCCTCTTAATGAGTTTGAAGCTGACACTAAGAGCCTTCTCATATCCGCTGAAATGCCTTTGGAAGGTGAAGTTGCGGATGACGACAGTCAACAGGCAGCAGAAGCCATGGTACAGTTGGGAACTATGGGATATTATCCTCCCAATGAGAGCGAAGAAACAGAAACTTTGGTTTATAAAGGTATTTCATTTCCTTATTCAACTAAATTGCAGGTGTTCGTCCTGCTTCTCCAAATTTTCAGTAGAAAACTAGGAAAAGGTCTTACTTTCTGTTGTTTTGTTGTTGTTGGTGGTGTCTCATGCTCACTTTTCTTTTGGTAAAACGGGATGATCAGTAGATAATTTTGTTTACAGAAGAAGAAAGTATGGACGTCGATCCAAATTATGATCCTTCGGATTTTCTCATGTCCGGTCTACCTTTGCGAAAAGTAGAAGATTTACATCATGACACCGAAATGAAGATCCATGATGATTTAGCAGTGAGTGAAAGTGAAGATGAAGGTGCTAATATTCCTCAAGAACCTGTACAAGAAGATGATGATGCAGGCGACCTTTGGTTTTAAATGTTCAATATGGGTTACCTAAAGTAATAATTTGACTGTTTTTGTATATATATTATTTCATGTATATATTTATATATTAATGTATCATTTAAGTTAACTTTTTGAATTACACAGCCCACCAACAACTGATTTTGGTTAATTCATTTGTGCTGATTCCAACAATATAAACCTTTTCTTTATATCGGCTCTAGTTTTCGAGATATAACCTAATTAAAATCTGCTTAAAATCTATTTTTTCGTTAATCAGCTGTCGTCCCCATACGAACGACAACTCTCAGGGGTTGAGAAACTTGTGCGAGCTACAGACTAACGAGGTCTTACCTTTTAACGTGTGATTCCTAACACATACTCATCAAATACTTAAATATTCTTACATTTCTATATATTCCACCACTATATTTGCAATATGTTTATAAACAAACTCAACAAATTCTAAGACGGTTTTTACTACATATGTGGCGAGTACATTGTAAAGGAAAGTAGCCTATTTTGGTGTTCATTAAGGAGATCAAGATAAATCCTGGGCTCCACATGTAGTGCGCAAAACTTGTCTTGAAAACTTTCGACAGTGGACGAAAAGACAACGAAAATGTTTAAAGCTTGGTGTTCCAATGGTATGGAGGGAACCAAAAAATCATTTAGACAATTGCTATTTCTGTCTTGTGAATATAAAGGGCATTAATTGTAACAATCGACATACGTGGACATATCCTAACCTGGATTGCGAAATAAGACTAATTCCACATCAGCTTGAGCAGATACCCATTCCAATATTTAGCAGCCTACCTACATTACCAGAGGAAAATGTTGAAACGTTATATGACGAACTACAGATTAATAGATTTGAGGAAGACGACAGTGATTTTGAAGGGGATTCAACACGTCCTGAGCGCTTTACTCAGGAAGAGCTAAGCGATCTTATTAGAGATTTGAATCATCCAAAGGATGACAGTTCCAAACGAAGTTTAAAGTGTGCCCTTCTACATTATGGCAACAAATGTGGAAGTATACCAATTGGGCATTCTACAAAACTGATAGAAAAATATAAAACAATACCGCTGGTGCTAAAAAACATCAAGTATGACCAACATCAGGGGGCGATCTGGGATAGTAGGGCTAAGGACCAACACTGGAGTAGAAGAAAATGGCATTCTAGAGATGCTTTAATTCAAGGAGAAGCTAACGTAGTTAACGAAGCATTGGTCTACCGAGAGAAAATAATATTACCTCCGTTACATATTAAACTAGGGCTGATGAAACACATTGTAAAGGCCCTGGACCAGAATCGTCCTTGTTTTGAATACTTGTCCAGCAAATTCCTTGCACTTAGTAAAGAAAAATTGAAAGTCGGAGTATTTGATGGGCCTCAGATACGACAACTTATAAAAGATTCGCATTTTACAGAATTGATGACTGAAATTGAGTGTAATGCATGGTTCTCTTTTGTGAAAGTTGTGGAAAACTTTCTTGGAAACAATAAATCGGAAAATTATCGGGATTTAGTGGAAGAAATGCTCAACAATTTGAACAAACACGGTTGTCATATGAGTATTAAAATTCAATACCTCCACAGCCACTTAGACCGTTTCCCAGAAAATCTTGGTGACCTCAGTGAGGAACAAGGGGAACGCTTCCACCAAGATATCAAAACGATGGAAGAGAGGTATCAGGGGAGATCGGACACTCACATAATGACGGATTACTGCTGGAGTCTTCAAAGGGACTGTCCTTTTAAAGCCTTTGCAAAAAATCATATAAAAGGAAGTTTTCAGGTGACGCCGAATAACAGATTTGTGCTGCGATGCTGGTTAGGTTACATGAGAAGTTAAGTTTTCTTTGGCAGATATGTGTGATGATTTTTGTAAGTATATTGTTCTACAATAAATATCTTACTTTTTATACCTATATGTTAGAAATGTGATCTGTTGTCGTATTTTCTGAAAACGATCTGATGGAGCAAATCTGGTGGCATTTTTGGATTCAGCAGACCCAAATTACTTAGAAACAGTAAAAAAAACGGCAGCAAACTGTGTGTCTACCAGTGTTATTCATTCCTTCTTGCACTATAATAATAATATAATATTATATTTTTTACTTGTTTCAGGGATTTCAAATCATTTTATATAGTAGACAATGGAAGTCCGAACTAGTGAAATTCATCACGAAACATTGTCAATCACCTTCAAACTTACTAACCATTATGTCACTATTTACTGAATCAATCTTCTATCATCTTTATTATTGTTTCTTATAATAGAAAACAATGTCTTCATACCATTGATGGTTTATTTATTTTTCTTTAGTTTTCTTTAAAAAAATATTTTCTGATATACTGAAAAAATTATTTCCAAGTGATGATTCTGGAAAAGCATTACCGTTCAAGAATGTTTTTCAACTTGTATATATATATCAGTCACAGAGGTACTATCACAAGGTAATCTATTCAGATAGGTCTGATCTACAGTTTGCATTGGAACTTCGTTTGTGTGAGGAATTTGGATAATCCAAATAAGACTGATTTTGAGCTACATAAATCATTTATTTCACATATTTGATGTTACATAGAACGGGTGATTTATTGAGATTTAAATTCAAGATTTGTATGGGTTAACGTAATCACATATCTACAGGTGAGAGATTGAAGTTTATAATAATAAGAAGGCACCGCTGAAAGAAGACGGGGAATTCAATACAATCGCATAATACAGCCTGTAGTCTTTTAATTTGTACATGTTGAATTCTAGACCATTGAAAATTGATTGTTTTTTTAACTATACAACTTATTGATGTAATGCAATGAAATGTTTTCTATATACAGGGTGTATCTTAAATGATGTCGTTTAAGGAATCACACCTTAAAAGGTAAGACCTCGTTAATCCTTAGCTCGCACAAGTTTTGATTTATGAGGGTTGTCGTTCGTAGGGGTACGACAGCTGGTTAACGGAAAAACAGAACAGATTTCAGGTGGTGATTACTTGTCATATTTTATGGAAAAAAGTTCATATGAACGTTTGTCATAACTTGCTTCGACTTCGAGTAACAGTGTGTTGAAAGTTTGACTAAAAATATTGTTTTTTCATTAATAACTGACAATTATTTTCAGTAGAAAATTAGGAAAAGGTAATACTTTTCGTTGTTTTGTTGTTTCATTAAAATCGGCGAAAATACTTTTTTTCTACTCCCGTACGTGAAATAGTACTTTCACACACCGTTCACGAATCGTAAAATGTAATTTCACGCCCTTGTGCGTGAAATTATTTTTACGCCCTAGGGCGTGAAATATACCCATATACTGGAGGCGATTTGCTTGCCTTAAAAAAACATGGAGGTTGGAAATCCTCTGCAGTGGCAGAGCATTATATAGAAAACTCAATTACTCAGAAAATTGATGTGGCAAATAAAATTTTATCGCCTCAAAATCAACTTTCCTCAGCCCCTATCGCCACTACTTCTATCATCTCAACTTCCAAGTCAAGAAACACACTAATAGAAAAATCAAATGCTGCAGGTGTAAGTTTTGGAATGGTCACAGGTTCCAATATTACTATTAATAATCACTATTATTCCACATCAGAATGAAAACCAAAAATAATAATCTCAGTATAAGAATTAATTGTTAATTTTATAATATAGGTACTTACTAATTATTCTGAAATTCAATAAAGCTCTTTAAACTAATGGTGCTTAATTTTCTCTGTATGGTCGTAGAAAAACTATAGTGTGCAACATGTGCGTGAAGACTTTTTTACACTCGCGTTGTTTGCGACACTTGCCTGAGGGCTCGTGTCGCAAATTCCACGCTTGTGTAAAAAAGTCGATTTCACGCACTTGTTACACAATATACTATTGAGATATTCATGAAAGAACAATATTTTTAGTGAAACTGACACCCCGTTACTCTGAAATGAAGTAAGTTATAACACACGTTCATATGATTTTTATTTTTCATAAAATATGACAAATCGCCGCCCCAAACTAATTACATCATTTTGGATACACCCTGTACAAATTATATTTACTTTTATCAAAAAATGAACTGCAATATTTTTCTTTGTATCTACAAAAATAAATGCACAAAACTGTATTCAATTTTGAATTCATATTTGAAAACAACGAAATAAAGTGGTGTTTTAAAAAAATTAGATTTAGAAAGGTTCACTTCTTGACTCACAAAATTTTTGCAGATGTTATATCGTGTCCATGGGTTTCTAAAGACCTGACTCATGACATGAATAACTTTATCAGTTTTCAATGGTCCCAGAAAGTGATTCTTATGAAATCAAAACACAATTTCCACTTCCAATCATATATATCCACCAGCTGACGCAAATGAAACCATATTTGACTTAATATTCGCGCATACTTAAACTTATTTGCATGAACATATATTTACAAATGGAAACTGACTTATTGCTACATACGAGAGACAAAAATATACAGGATGTACCTAGGAAAAATTCACACATAATATCAAACTTAAGTATCAACATTTCTACACAAGGTTTAATAAAAAATTGAAAGTAATACTGCAAATGCATTAAAGATGCAGTGGGTAGGAGAAAAAATTTGTGGTATTTTTCAAGAACTGAACACTTTTTTCGTTATAGAAACCAAATATTTCATGTAGTAGTAGTGGTAGTACTTTGTGAATGAAATATAACCTCATAAATGCATTCCTTTTGAAACGTTGATGTGTTTGATCGTTACTTTAAATCATTCAAACCTGATGTTTCCATCAACACTAGTGCTTCTATGACAAATAAAACCGTTACTAAAAATCTTCATAAATTAAAAAACACTACAAATTTTCTCGCAGGATGAGTAGCCCCACTCCATTTCTTTTACACACTGCATGAATAGGATGTTATTGATTATTGCATCTACCATCAGTCTATAATCAATCATACTCTACCTCTATGTAGAATCAACTACATACACCTATTAATTCCGTTATTTTTTCAGTGAAGGTGATGCCAACTAACGGTTATAGATTTTCAAACATCTGAGAGGTCGAGACAAAAACATCTAAATTGCTGAAAATGTATCCAATCGGTATAAAATATGCTTAATACAGCAAGCTGATTCTTTAACGAGTATAAATAATCAGTCGTTAAATCTTACTTTACTTTTCATAGTTGACATTTTAATAATCATGGGTACAAAATACTCAGTTGTCTAATTCATAAGATTTCAAGTGCAGAACTTCATAATTCTAGAATATTTTCAAAGAAGCTTTGTTCGTTCAAACTTGTCATGAGAATAATACGTCATGGATTTGAAGCAAGTACATTTTCTTCTAGAACAATTTAGAGGCTTGCCATCAGTTCATTTCGGTTGGGAAAACGAAAGACTCTAAAGACGTTCCACAACTCTAAATTAGAAAACATCATCAAATATTTCACAAACAAGGTACAAATACTCGCGCGATTCATCATGTCCAAATCCAATATTTTAGATCATTCCCGATTTGCGTTTAATATATGAAGCATACATAATCTATGACTTCCTGGAATGGAGTGATAAACTTTCAGAAACCGTAATAAACATAAAATAGTTGTCTAGGCGTTGGATTCCTTCAAATCTTGAAGACGAGCTAATTGATGCGGTTCCAGTTCGTCTGGAATACTAGCCCGACCTCCTACTACTTGTTTCGGTTCACTATCTAAGGGTGGAGGGGCTTGACTCACAGAATTCTCTGCAGTGCTGGGACCTGTTGTCTCACCATCGCTGCCTGTACTGCTGCTAACCACAAACGGAGTGTCTACATGATGGTCTTCTATAGGTTCTTCCAAATCTTCTATTGGATCCACTCTGGTTTCTTCCATTTCAGATATATCTTTATGACGTTCTATTTCTGACTCGTCGTCTGCCAGGTTATCTTCAGCATTTTCTCTGTGATTCACGGCGGATTCTTCAGGAGGGGGAAATGGGTGTTCAGCCTCTTCAATCATTGGTGTAGCTGCAGTGATGACAATGGATGCTGCGCATAAACCATCGTAAACGTCTGTAGAGGCTTCCTCATTTTGGTCTACCTCTTTTCCATCCTACAAATAGAAGCAATTTTTCAGTTATACATGGTTCTACTTATAATAACATAACATAGATAGATAGATTTATTGATCCTTTTTGCTACATAATGTGTGGATGGGATAAGTCATAATTGTAGTTATAAACTTGCATACATATAAACATACAAAGGTATAAACAAACATATAAATAAAATTCTAGGTCTAGAAAGAATGCAAGTAAACTAGGTTTCACAATAAAAATAATGTTGTCCAGGCATCATATAAAATCCTATGTAATATGTTATTTTTTCCTTATTATATAATATGTAAAATCATCATTTTTTTTCTCTGTCAGAATCATGCAATCAAAAGGTATTAACATTTTACATTCAAATAGTTGAGAATATTTTTCCACGAGAACTTGTCAATTTGTGTCTGACAAGCAGATAAATATCGTGAGACTAAAAGTATTGATATATTAGGTTGTTTCAGAAGTTTTGTCCGTTTTAATGTCATGTGTTTCTGTAGCGCTCCATATCTCAATAAATATTTATTCTACTGTGTTGTGGTATATACTGATCAACATAGATATAGCTACTCTATATATTGATGCTATTCATTATTATCCAAAATTTTTTTGCCTCTTTTCAGTTTATTAAGGCTAGTTCATGTTGGAATGAATATTGCATAAAAAGTGCGATTTAAAATGGCCTCGTGTTTATCGTAAAAAAGTTGGAAAAATTGATCTTTTTCGCGATTTCCGCAAAATTTTATACGTCAACATACAATGAGGTTATATTGCTATTTTATTTGACTCTCGTTTTTCAAGACCATACATCGAAATTGTATATGAATTGGACGAATGTGTCAGGTTGTTCAAATCATATCAACTTTACCGTATATATAAAGCTTCATTGAGAAAACCACGTCATTATGGCGTGAAAAATATTTTCAAAAACAGAAGAAAATATGAAGAATATCACAACCTTGTAGCTGAAATAAGAATTAGTGATCCAGAGAAATATTTCAACTATTTCAGGCTGACTCTCCCATTATTCAATAAATTATTGAATTTGGTTGGCCCTTCATTAAAGAAAACTCATTGCTCCTGCACTTAAGTTGTCAGTAACGTTAAGATAAGTGGTTTGAAGACACGCCCCTATTAAACAAAACTTGAGTAAATTGTTAATCCTATTTTCTGATATGATGGGGTCTGGTTTCAAAAGTCGTAATTCTTATGAGTCGTATGTCATCATTCAGGTTCATGTAATAAAATTTAAAAATCAACAATAAAATCCCTAGATATTGCTCACTTCAACATGAACAGGGTATTTTGACAATTGGACCAAATTTGCGGAAACGCAAACATATTATCGCAATCGTTCCAATATGAACTCGCCTTTATACTATCATGTTGAGAAGCGATTTTCTGTCATTTTTATTATTGCAGTATTCCCATTGTCATTGACATACTTTAAAATCGTTGAAGAAAGATATAAGCCGTTTACGTGCGACACCTCCAAAAACATATCCAGAATTTTAAGAGAATGAAAAATTAATAATACCTATAGAATGACCTGCCTAAGCACAAATTATTCCAATAGGGCATTCTCCTGCTTCTTTGTGCCTCACGATATTATTATAGGCTTGTTCTGGTTCTCTGCCCGGACTGTTCCTAACAGTCAAAAAACAGTCACCCAACTGAATACTGAACATTTTGTCGCGTTAACCTATTCAGTCCACAACTGACTCACTGATTTTGGACGATTCGAAACAGTACTAACTGAGAACCAGAACGAACCTTATAAAAATAATCGGTTCTTGATCTTGATGTTCACTACATAGGCTGAAAACTCTTGGGTCTAACACATAGACGGCGCTAGTCTTATTGCTTTCTCCGCTTTTTCAGTTAGTGCTAACCTTCAAAAGAAAGCTGTTGACATTTCATGCTATTCTACTAATAAGTTTGTGAGTTATTGTGTTAAGAGTGACACTACTTTTGTTATGCATGAGTTAGCTGACATTGTAAAGATATCAAAAGAACGTGTTGGCTTTATATCGCATGAGAATTTGATTATGAGAAAGATCTGTTCAAAGTGGGTTCCGCGCGAGCTTACTATTGACCAAAAACAAGAACGTCTTGATAATTCCAAACAATGTTTGGTCATGTTTAAACATAACAAACCGGAATTTTTCGTCGATATGTAACAATGGATGAAACAAAGATCCATCACTTCACTCTGGAATCAAAACGATCGTCATCTGAGTGGAGAACCTCGTCCAAAGCGCCCGAAAGCACAACAATCGGCTGAAAAGGTTATGGCCTCGGTACTTTTGGATGTGCGTGGTGTAATATTAATAATAATAATGATAATAATAATAATAATGTCTTTATTCCTCATAATAAGAAGTACAAATTAAATAAAATTCAAAGAAATGATGAATAGGCGTAGTTCAGCTATGAAAGCTGCTTTTAAACCCAACCTCGATCAGTGTGTATTTTTATTATTTTTTTATAATATTCGGGTATGTGAGAAATTGCCAAAATCTTTTTGCATATGTTGAGCCCTATTACTGTCGTGTAAAAAACATGTCTTTTAACCTTTTCTTAAAGTTTCTCATTGAACTTCCTTCAAAGTCTGTGGGGATGGTGTTATACAACTTTGTCGCATTGTAGGAGAAACTTCGAGTATACATTGCTGTGGAATGCCTGAGAATGAGCAAAGTATGCTTATTACGAGAAGTGCCACTGTGTGATAATGCAACCAATCTTTCACGTAAGTAAGGCGGATATCCCGAAACACGAATTCTATGCGTGAAACTAAGCAAATGGATTGCTCTTAGATATTTGAGTGAAAGCCGGACGGACTTATGTGATCATACTTTCGGATACCGTAGGAAAATCTGACACAACTATTTTGTGTTTGAAGGTGGTTGACAATGTTTCAGAGGTGACATCAGAGGATTATCGGAAAAGATAAGAAGGATTGGGTCCAATTATAACATCAGGACCTGCTTCAGATCTGGGAACACTATCCGTAGCGGCCTCACAAAAACTAGGCCACCAAACGCGGACTGCGATTCCAAGAATTGCATTTACCGGATACCCTGCCAGTGCGAAGAATCATACATCGGTGAAACTAAGAGGCCATTGAAAGTTCGCTTTGCTGAGCACAAGAAACACACACAGCGAGGAGAAACCAGCAAATCCGGAATAGCAGAGCATGTTTGGACTCATCAACATAATATCAAGTGGGCTCCAGCTGAAATCATTCACAAAGAGGAACACTGGTTTAGGAGAAAATTCAAGGAAGCCGCGTATATGTTGTCCAACAACGCATTTAGTCAAGCTAGCGTAGATATACGTAACATATGGAAACCTCTAATTAAGCGAAAAACGACCAACTCCCGCCAAACGGTCATCTCCCGGGATAGGTGAAAGCAGATCTCGGAGGAATATAAATTGAAAAAAGGAGCGGTTTCAAGACTGAACCTTGCGGTACACCAATTTTTTTATATTATTGTTGATTGGTTACCATCAAGGTGAGTTGATTGGGTCCTTTCTGAGAGATATCGATTCATAAGTGACAATAAAGAAGGATCTAAGGTATCGAATGCTTTACTGTAATCAAGCATTTAGAGACATGTGAAATCTCCTTTATCAATTGATTTGAATATGTCGTCAGTGATGAGACACAGAACCGTAGTAGTGCTATATAGAGGGTGAAATCCAGACTGAACGGGGGTAATAAGATTTTTTCGTTTAACGTAATCTGTGATCTGTTCTTTAACGATCATTTCGAAGGTATTTTGATATGGCAGGAATAATACATATAGGTCTAATATCAGAGAACTCTGAGGGATCGTTACATTTTGCCAATGGCTTAACTCTAACATGTTTCCATTGGAAGGGAAATTTACTAATCTCAAAAACCATTTTAAAGTTCCACTACAAGGCAAAAGATAAATTATTCTGCAAAAGTGGCATTGAAATGTTAAAAGCGGCGCTGTAATGATTGTGTGGCTCTTGATGGAGTTTACTTTGATGAATAAAGCCAATTTTGAACAAAAAAAAAGTTTTTTTCTTATGGCCGGGATTTTTCAGCCTAGGCTACCCTTTTGAATTTGTAATTATTTCAGTGTCAGAAAAACAATGTGTGCAATAGGAAAATACAGACAAGCCTATATGAAACAGAATGAATATGAAATTTGAGCAATAAGCATACCTCATCAACAATTTCAACGCTCGGCACGTCGATCTCTAGAAGCAGCAAGAAAATAAAAGTTAGTTTAAAGAAGAAGAATGTACAAATCGTAACTCACCCGGTACGGACGAATTTTCACTGAATTGACTTCCGTAGTGGTGTTGTTGGTCCCTGGTCAGCGATATCGCGAAGCCTGGTGAAGGCGGTTCTTCGATTATTCGTGGTGCAGTTTCGTCAGACTTGGAAGTATCCCCTTCTTCCGCAGGGGGTTCCGGAGGAGGCTGTTGCGGCGGAGACGACACTAATCCGTTGGTGTCTGATGCTTGCTCGTCTACCAGATGGAAGGGAGCATCGGGCGGTGTGAAAACGGGTGGGGCAGAGGGCGGAGGGGTTACGTCCCATTCGTTCGTCAAAGGTTCTCCAAACTCGTCACATTCCTCCACGACCAAAGAAGGGAAGTTTCCTATGTGTCCTTCCAGCTCGCCTTGCCACCAACCGTCGTCTATGCTGTGCGCGCACTTGCTCAAAATTCTTATTATTTGGCCTTCTTCGAATGTTAGTTCTTCTTGACCTACAACAAGACTCCTATTGGTGATATCATGATGACGAAAGTAAATGGGAAACTATAGAGCCGAATGGTTGTCTGTTAAGAAAAAGGGAAATGTTCAAATTTCGCGGGCTACGTACATTTGATGAGATATTTTTTTATGTTGGTATACTTGTCTCAAACATAATTTCACAGTTTCAGCTTCAGCTGTTTGGCATGTTTAGTTCGTTGGTGAGAGGCTTAAAAGTTAGCGGTTTTCTGCTATCGGAAAAATTGCTCAAAGAATTTGCATCAAATTGTGTGTAAGAAATGTAATTAAGTGTTCAGAACCCCTTGAAAAGTTGAGAGTGACATACGGAGATTGTACACTGAGTCAGAAAAATGTTTACAAGTAGTAAAAAGCATTTCACAGAAGGTTAAGAAGATGTGAATGACGACGCTCGCCCAAGACGCCCCAGCACATCAACAACCAAAGAAAATGTTGAGAAAGTGAAGAAAATTGTTGTGGAGGATCGAATAAGATCATTTGCTGAGGTTGTTGGCATATCGGCTGGCTATTGCCATGCAATTTTTTCGGAAATTTTGGGTATGAAGCCCGTGGCAGCAATGTCACTTCCAAAATTGCTGAATTTTGACCAAAGAAACCATCTCATGAGCCTCGTTCAGGAATTGTTGAATGACGTCAATGGCGATACCGATCAGCTTAAAAGAGTCACAACTGGTGACGAATCATGGGTATGACATCGAAACCAAAGTCCAATCGTCCCAAAGGAAGAACCCAGGAGAGCCGTAGACCTTCAACCGCTCTTAGGATGAGATTCTCATCCAACGCGTTCAGTGCTGTAGTATCGAAGGATTCGACGGTACCACAGGCATCGGATTAGTTATAATAAACGGTCGGAAATTGATATTGTGTTTAGTTTATTCTCTGTTGTTATTGTTTTTAGTTTTTATAGTTGGTTATAAGTAAGTTACCACAAAATCTTCTATAATATCCTTAAATTTCGTTTTTATGTGAGCGCAAGCCTATGGCAAAAGAACGAAATTGACTCTGCACTTCGTTTCGAAGTCACCGAGAACTTTGTGAATTTATGAATGAAAGTAGTGGGAGTGGATTACTGGTTGATTTTTACTATGGTCGTCTGGTCAATAAGAAGTATTGTCTTGAAGCTATGTGTCGCTTACGAGAAGCAATACGGAGAAAACATCCAGTATGGTGAAAAACATCACGATAAAGCACCTGCTCACTCGTAATTGCTTGTTCGTAATTTTTTTCGTTATTTTTTGGACAGAACTCGCAAGTTAATGAATATAGAGACATACTGAGTATACGAATATTTTCCAATGATACGGTGTTGTGTTTAATGGAGCCTCCATTACAGTTTGAGATGTACCCGTGGAGTTATCAAAAAATGTTTCGTATAAAAGTATTAGATCAATTCCGAATAAATCTAGTTGACTGTGTAAACTGTTTGTATGGTAGTTTGATCAGGAGAGTCTATACTGATGAATTAAGGACCGTTATTGGAATAAAAAACAACAAAAACAACAGAACTGCAACACTCATCTCGACGTGCCTTTCACCAACTAAGTTGGCATCACAAAAATAATCACCATAATAACAAATACACCATTAACGGGTCTTTGCAAACTTATTCCGTATGTTATGTTGTAGTGATGCAAGACTGAATTCAATAAACTTGAGCGGAAAGGACATACCTATTTCTGATCTAAAATTTCTCTACTCTTGTGTTTACTTTTTCAACAAGATTGTCACAGATTTTATTTAATGAAAAAATTCCTACCTTCTCCTTCGTAGTCGTACAGGGCTATGCAGTACGAAGGCGTGGAACCTTCTGGTGTCTTCTGTGGTATGGAAATAACAGAAACTTGCTCTGGGGATTGGGTAGTTTCTGTTTGTTGTTGCAAACTTTCTTCTTCATTATCTATCGTGTAATCGACGGAAGAAAATGATATTTGCGTAACAAGACCAGGTGTAGTGACTGACGTTTGTTCTCGTTCAACATCGAGATAGTTCTGTGGGACGTATCCTTCTTCCCCTTTGTAATTTCGTGCTCTCAACCAACCGTCACCGTCACCTTCTCCGACAACTTCCAATTGTTCGTTCTCTACGATTGTTAGTTCGTCAGGATTTTGGGCCTATTGAGAAATTTGAAATTTTTATTTGACCCCGTTAGACTTTTTCTTGCGGGGTTTTCTTGAGTCACAGGTGTATGTGAATAAGCCACAAACCACAGCGGTTCTCAAAGCCAACATAACCCCTGCCATCAGTCAAACTAAGCCTGATTTATGCGCCTGAGTCATGAAAAATTGGAAGTTTCGAATGCGCTCCATCCAGAGAAGAGCCTCAGCTTTATTCTTTATCAGTACAAGAAATTCCTTTTTATCCGTTTTCTTCAAGCTAACAAAAGTTGCTTCACTCAAAATGGGCAATTGTCTTTTGACGCGTGTGGATATAATAAGTACCGCCTTCTGTGTGGTAGCCTACGAACTCTTCTTTTTCTCTGATTCTTCTCTTTCGAGATAACGAATATAATTGGTACATTTAATACACTCCAATGAATAAATTCAAATACATACCGTGTAGGAGTACAAGGCAGTGCACTTCAGTAGAGGTACTGAAGAAGTAGTTTCTGGTTGAATAAGACCTTCAGATTCTTGTAATGAGTCTTCTGTTCCCCAGTCTACCTGTGTAGGGTCATCCCATTCTGCGGTTAGTTGTTCAATTCTCTGTCTTTCCTGCTCCAGCACGGCTGCATGAGACATACAAAATAAAGGTGTTCGACATTTTTATCAGTTCAGAGTATATTATCCGAAGGAGCCAAATGAATATATTAGTTGAGTCTTGTTTGATTAACTGGAATTTGTTAGCAAGTTGATCAATTTCAATCGTTTCGTCTACTATAACGTGAATAATTAGAAATGAAAACAAGAAATAGAGTGGAAGTTAGAAAAAGATACATTGGCAAAACAGAGAGATACAAAAGTAACCTTTCACAAGAGTTAGTGAATTTCAACTAATCTTTGAGAAAGAAATCATAGGAAACAAAACCGAAAATCGGCAAAAGACTTATGGAAGAAATGAAAAATAGATAGTTCCACTTGGACAGAGTGCCCTGGCTTCAATTAGGACAAGAGGGCAACCTTACCAACAGTAACAAGACCTTCATCAGATGGTCTATCATCGTGGACCATGTACCGTAAACAACTAGAGGTTGCGGCCTAACCAACGGCTAGAAACGGTCCATGGCCCTAGTTCTAATACTACGGGAGCCTCTGCCAACACCTCCAGGAAACCTAGCAGGAGTGTGGGGCAGCTACGAACTTCTAATGTAATTAGGGTAGATTCAAGCACCAAAAAACTGGGTTCAACCCTTCATTGACAAGTTGAAGAATACAAAGAAGCGGCAAATCTTGACGTTAGGTGGGTACCTAACGATACAGTGATAGTTGCACCTAGAGTTTGAAGTTGCTTCCCAAACAATGAAAAACTACTGGAAAAAGGTAACCTTATCAGAAGAAGTAACGTTGAAGGAAAAAGTCAAGAAGCTCTCACAAACCATCCCTAAATTTAGCGAGTCGTAAGAGAAAAATCGATTCTATAAGAAACGGCCTTGCTGCAGGTGCCACAGTTATCCAACTATGGCACCTGGATTTATGGAAACGGTCAAGGTTTCAACGTCTCACAAGAATGGATCCACCAAATGAAGATTGGGAGCAGGCAGCTTCTAGATCAAAGTGGAGTAGAAGAAACGTCATTGATTCGATAATAGACGAAAGGTTGCCAAGGCACGAAAGAAGGCGTAGGTTGTCTACCGACACCAGAGAGAAGACCAAGCTCTCAATGACAAATTAATAGAAAAAAGTATGCATCTCAAGCTTGATTGGGTTCAAAACGGATTCAAGTTACGAAAAAAGTAGGTTACGTGTCATAACTAAAGATCGGATTCAGAAGAACCACACTCGTGGACAAAGAGATAAGAGAAAGTCATAAGAAAGATGATGAACTGAAGCTGTTTCGATGTTGGCACAACGAAGAAGGCCGATCTGATTGACAGAGAGTCTCGAGTATCGAAGTAGAATTGCCAAGGGTTACCGCGCTTAAGTTCACGTTACAGATCTGCCGAAGCAACTCGTGGAGTCAAGCAGGAGGACACTTCGGCAACAACAGGATCCAGGCACGACAAAGGTATTGCTGAATCAACTGTCGCCGAGACGTAGAGGAGTGGATCAAATGAAGTGATCTTTGCTACTTGAACAAATCGTCAAACGACGGGTTTGTCCGGAGACAATAGAACGAAGAGAAACTCCCAGTGACCGAAAGAAAAGAGGCTACCTGGAAAAATAATGGCACAAAGTTCCAATAAGACGATTCCCTGCTTGGTGAACGAGAAGAGAAATGACTTGCAAACCCCTGGTTTGCCAAACAGGTCTACTGCTTTGTTACTATCATCTGAATAATCATCAGCAGAGTACCTACATACTTTGTGGTTTTGACAGAGTTTCATTCTTGCCATAGGACGTTTACGTTAGATATTTGCCAAAGAAACTCGTGGAGTCAAGCAGGAGGACACTTCGGCAACAACAGGATCCTGGCACGACAAAGGTATTGCTGAATCAACTGTCGCCGAGACGTAGAGGAGTGGATCAAATGAAGTGATCTTTGCTACTTGAACAAATCGCCAAACGACGGGTTTGTCCGGAGACCATAGAACGAAGAGAAACTATCAGTGACCGAAAGAAAAGGGGCTACCTGGAAAAATAAAGGCACAAAGTTCCAATAAGACGACACCCTGCTTGGTGAACGAGAAGAGACATGACTTGCAAACCCCTGGTTTGCTAAACAGGTCTACTGCTTTGTTACTATCATCTGAATAATCATCAGCAGAGTACCTACATCCTTTGTGGTTTTGACAGAGTTTCATTCTTGCCATAGGACCTGAAAGATCGTTCACCAAATGAACTAATCGTCTCGTTCAGAAGCTGTACTAACAGAAGCTGTACTAGCTTGGTGGAATTTTATTTGATGTGAGCCACATTGGTGTTTCAGTGGGGAATCGACTAAATTCACTTACTTTTAGTCTAAACTAACACATATACTTGTCCAATTCAGCGAAAAATGAGAATAAAATTGGCTTGGACATTTTTCATGCCGGAGTTCCCTAAGGGGAAAGTAAAGATTCTTTAATAAGTTTTCATAACAATCCGTTTTCTCAAGACACACAATATTTATACTAGGGAAAAATTACCTCTATAAAAAAACATTAGAAAGTTTAACGAATTCATAAAGATATATATGAAATATTGGTAATAACACTTCGCCACAGGAGATAATTTTTCAGTTAATGTGTGTTTTGAAAGTCTCAAGATGATACGTGTTTTTTAAAAATGTTGATAACCATTATATACAGAGTACTGGGAAAAAATCAGGCATCACTGCCAGCCCAAGCTTAGGCGATGTAAACTGCATAGAATGATATCGTGGCCTACCCCACTCACCGTCGACCTCACAGCTTTCATAGTTATCAGACTGGCTTTCCCTCCTTTCATCTTCTTTAATGTCCGGTGTGGTTTCTACAGGAATTNGGCGATGTAAACTGCATAGAATGATTTCGTGGCCTACCCCACTCACCGTCGACCTCACAGCTTTCATAGTTATCAGACTGGCTTTCCCTCCTTTCATCTTCTTTAATGTCCGGTGTGGTTTCTACAGGAACTGTCACATCTCCATCGGCAAAATCACTATCGTAGAAAGAATCGGAACTGGGATGATCCTAGAGAAAAACATTTCAATCAGTCACCAGCCTCAGTTTTATTTCTAGTTTACAAAAATTCTATCAAGTTTATATTAATTCGAAACAGTTTCTCCAGGAACATTAATTTACACACATGTTCAGTATGGACACGTCTGAAAAAACTATTATATAGTGAAACACGTGTAATGATTTTCTAAACTAAATACTATTAGGTTGTTTCAAAAGTCTAATTCAAACTAATATCTCAGCACTTTTGCCAACGTAACACAAGTCAATTAATTCCTTCAGCTCGGGATTCGATAAAATCGACGAAGGCCGTTTTTGCGTGGTCCTGATTGGCGAAGGTTCTACCGGTGAGTAAGTTAGCGAAGTGTTTGAAAATATGGTAGTCGGTTGGCGAGAGGTCTGGGAAGATCTCAATTCATTCAATTTTCGGACGGTAATTCATGAAACGTGCGAATGGTCGTTGTCATGGAACATGATCGGACCTCTACAAGACCTCAACAAGAATCTGCTGTAATAGTTTCCAGCTGGCTATGCTGGTTTGGTCCGGTTGGAATGATCGATCGCAGCTTGAGAAATGGTTCTTATGGAGATTATGTGAAACATGTTCTTCCTCTTACGAACCAGTAGAGAGTTGTCCTGAAAATCTAGAGAAGAAAATTGGATTGGATAATTTAAGAAACAAGTGTTGTTCATGATGAAGAATTTCAAGAACGAGGTTTTAATGATGAACGAGAACGGGAATGTTCCCTACTCATTCATCAAACTCAAACACCTGTTCATGCAACTGCAGTTTCGTAAGAATTTATCATCTTTCCCTCCAACCGATTTCCTGGAGTCTTTGGAGTCCACTAGATACTCATTAGGACAACAAGAGGATTGTTCCGAATTCTTGGGGTTCTAGTTGAATACTCTTCGTGAGCAAAACAATACCAAAATCAATACTCATGACCGCTCTGGATTGAATGATTCTGTACAGTCCATCTCGTCTTGCGTTTGTGAATCTTTTGCTGAAAAAATCCTCACTTGTTTACTTTGCAGTAAATGTTCAAGAGGTAGTGAAAACTTATGTGAATTTCTGGAACTTCATCTAGCGTTTCCTAATATGATACCTCCACCCCGAAGACATTCTATTCGAGCTTCCGCTTTTGCTTTCGATGTCTCGGCTCTTCTTATTGCTTGTTTCAGTTCTTCTATTTTCGTTTCCAAATCCGGCCCGTTCTGATCGTTGGGATCTACCTGCAAAGGTTTAGTAAATTCAAAACAATGGTTCGTTGATGTGGATTTTGTAGTTATTTTTCGTGAGATTTGGAGAATACCTCCGAAAAGTATTGAATAAATTATTTCCAGGACGACATTTTAAAGGTACACGTTCATATTAAACTTGTACAAAACTTTTTTATATCATACTTCTATGTTCGTCAGATAAAATATTCAATAACAATATTTTTGATTGCTGTCCAATGAAGATGGGAAAGTAGAAATCCAAAAAGCTTCCCAAGTTTCACCAATGTTTGTGTCTTAGTCATAGTTATATTATAGTATGTATGGTCATTGTGGCGTCAGTGAAGAGGATAAATATCGTCTCTATTTAAATTAGTTACAGTAACACATAAGCCCATCCAAATCAGCATAGCTATCTTTCAGCAAGAGGACCAAGACAGAAGGATTAGGAGCTCCAAAACTTCAGGCGAAAAAGAAACAATTATTAGGAAAGGTTTGGTACCTGGAAGATGGAATTAACACTTGGTACGGATTTGTGAGGCTGCATAGTCTACTATAACAGCATCGGAACTATAACTACAAACGAGTACAGGGAATAAGATTGTTGGAATGTGTGATGGTATTGGCCGATATTTGATGAAAATCTATAACGTATTCAAGAAAAACTGTATTGGGAGATTTTCATTGGATGGTTTACAAAACCGCCACGTGTTTAGATAACTTCTTCAAGCTCAAGGAAGTTATTGTATAGCGAAACACGTGTTGCGGGTTGTGAAAATCTCACTACGAAGTACAACTTGAATTGTTAGCAAACAGAAGCAACGCAATGCAATAAATACACGAGACTACAAAATTTTCCGTGGACTTAAAAGAAATAGACACGTTACACGTTCCAATTGTCGACATCACAGGACATAAACGTTATGTGGCTATGGTCTCTGACCCACCAAATGTATACCTTCCATAGAACGTCAAAGATAAGATTATTTCGCCGGAAGATTATTAAGTGGATCAATTCGGATGATAATGAAGTGTTCAAGAAAAGTCTAGTAACTTATGTTTGTCCAAATAAATTTAATGTATTATATATTCGGGTTCCCAAAGCGGGAGTGAATTAATACGCAACACCCATTATTTGTAACGATTGTGACATAAATAGTACTAAAATAATGAATATTGAAGTAGATGAAAGTGGGGAAATATTGTACAACAACTTTATTTCCAACAAACTTGCAAGAAAACGAATGTGAATGTAGCAACAAATAGAAGTTGAAGAGAGCTTTCAAAGGAAAGCAAATTGTCATGAGAAAAAGATTGCACTTATTCCAATTGTCGACATCACAGGACAATGCCGTTATGTGGCTATGATCCCTGACCCACCAAATATATACCTTCCATAGAACGTCATAGATAAGATTCTTTTGCCCGAAGATCATTAAGAGGATCAATTCGGATGATAGTGAAGTGTTGAAGAAAAGTGTAGTAACTTATGTTTGTCCAAAAAATTTAATGTATTATATTATATTCGGGTTCCCGAAGCGGGAGTGAATAAATACGCAACACCCATTATTTGTAACGATTGTGACATAAATAATACTAAAATAATGAATATTGAAATAGATGAAAGTGCTGAAAATATTGTACAACAACTTTATTTCCAACAAACTTACAAGGAAACTAATGTGAATGTAGAAACAAATAGAGTTGAAGAGAGCTTTCGAAGGAAAACAAATTGTCATGAGAAAAAAGGACCAGAAAAAAAAACTAAAACAGAAATAGAGGAACAGCAAACCTGACAGGAGGCTCAGAATAAAAAAGAAGTGTTATGTTATTACGTTACGTTCATCTGAGATGAACGAAATTCTTACTTTTTGTCCGGACTCTCGAAGGGCGTTGTAAATCTGTAACTTCCTAACGCTGTCCCTTATGTTATTGTTCTCTCTCGCTATCTTGGTGGCCCATCTGCGTGCTTCTTTGCTCAACGTCGCAGCGGAGGAATCGTGTTCGGCGGTCACGTGGTTCACGGGATCGTGGTCGCATGGTTCGAATTCGTAGTGAATGTGCTGCTTCAGTACCGGGTAGTACAAATAACAGCACTGCAGATTGTACTCTCTCGTCAATTGTTTGGCCTGATCTCGGATGGTGCCGAAGGAGTTTTGCATCGCAGAGCAGGTGAGTAGTTCCGTTCTCCCCATCAGCGAAAGGTATTCCGCTACTTTGTCATAGACTCCGCTCTCCATTGTTGTCATGCAGAGTTGCAGATCGACGATGAAATACCTTTTTGCAAGTAAGATAACGAAATTTATGATGAAACTATTTGTGACTGTTCAATTATTAAGATTATCGTTTCGTTCATTACTGACGTTACCATCAATACAAATGAAAACTGTTAGCTAATATAGACATTGGAACTTATAAAACAGCAAGAAAAATGGATTTTTTTGGATATATAAACACAATCTGTAAGGATTATAATGGAACTTCATTTCAAGGTGATCTTCCAGAAATCCAGGTTCATAAATAGCCCAGTACACATAAGATTATATAATAATGGATTATGGATTATATCCATTATCCAGAAACGCAGGCAGTTCACAATGGAGAAAGAAGAGAAAGGATGTATTAGTGAAAAGACGGAAAAGTGGTATACTGAGGCATGAAAAATACAGGAAACCATTCCATACAGACCGATGTTTGGATAAGAACTCCAATAATCTTGAACAACAGAAAAGAGGGGTTATCAAGACTCTGGTAGAGAGGACAGACCAAGAACCGGAAGGACTACAAAAACAAATGTGATCTGAAGAACGGGTTTCTGGGTAACGGATATAACGAGGTCGACATCAACCGAGACATATGATCCATACAATAGAAGAACTTTTCTGCCCTACATAAGCGGTAAATGGACCGAATTGGAAGGATCCTCGAAACACATGGAGTTGATGTTGAAGTTAGTATGTTGGCAATCCTGTAATTGACATGTGTCATCTGTTAGTTTTTTTTAGCTCTGTACTCGTGTGAGTTGCATGTTGTATGTTATGTCGACGAAGTGATTACTTATTAAAACGTTCATCAAGGTGTGCCTTATTTAATTGCCCAGTATCTATTTGATGGTATTTCAAGGCGCAGTTCAACAGTTGGACCATTTTCAAGTCCATGAGAACGATAAAGAAGGTCAGCTAAAGACCCCCGGGATCCATTATGTTCCCCAGGAGTATACCAAATACCGTGTAGTTGTGTAAATAAACGATGATGATGATGAAGAAGTTCAGCTAAAGACCCCCGGGATCCATTAAGTTTAGAAGCTTTGAAACACACTTGATTGAGCATAGAAGAAGTTGGCCAAACAGATATATTTTGAGTTTGCGCATCGCAGCAAAGTAGATCACTGCGAACGTTGCCGTATCGCCTTTGATAATGTATACCACAGTAGCAGGCGAAACGTCAGGTAAAAAACCTGAATACCACGACGAATAAACCCAGAAATACTGGAAAATTTATTATACACCGGCAGTGAAAGCCTACACACCATGATCTTGACAGTATTGTTTATATTTCAAATTTGAAGAGTGCCAAAATTTAAATTTGTTTGACTCTTTATAGGTCATTCGAGTGCTTTCACCTATCCCCTCTTCCTTCTCTCCACTTCATCGGTTTTAGCGGGCGCTGACCGATTGGCAAGAGTTGGTCGTGTTCCACTTAATTATAGTGTTCCCAGATCTGAAGCAGGTTCTGATGTTATACTTGGGTTTCAATCCTTCTTATCCATTCCGACATTCTGATGTAGGGAAGTACAAGTACTGGTTGTGGCGGCCTCTCTTCCTTGTAGAGTTCTTGCTGTCTTCTAGCTGAAGCCTGTTCCACCATCACTTTGGAGTTACTCTTTCCAAACGGTTAACTACCGCTAAAACATATGAAGCGGAGACAGGGAAGAGGGGATAGGTGAAAGCACTCGAATGACCTATAAATAGTCAGATTTCGTACTTTACTTCATTGTACTTTATTTCATTGTAATTTTTTTTACTATTATAATTGTTATTTTTCAGCTAATCTTTTTTATTTTCTTACCATAAAAAATAAATGTGAGGCTTTTCATTAGAGAAAGCGCCTATAATTAAAAAGGTTTCGAAAGCGTTTGGAGCAGATTAAAAATCGTTGGTTGGACGGGATGAAAGAGATATAATTATCCCACTTTTGAATTCACTATTGTTTGTTTTTCCAATTTTCATTCTCATTGCTTCTCCACTTTCATATTTCAAACCTGTCAGTTGGAAAGGAAGATGGATTCGAAACAGAGAAAAAGTTCTAGTGAATAACACGTACGATTTAACACTTTTACCTGGTTTGATGTGCGTTTGCAGCTGCGAGGCACAGGAGGTAATCATTTCTAGCGCCCGTTGATTTTTCCTCTAATTGATCTCTTTTCGAAGAGAACTTGGCGCTGTTCTTTTGTAACGAGGTAATCGATTGGAAGAATGAACCTTTCTTCTTCTTGAGCCTGATAGAAAAACATACATTTTATTCGATACGAAATGCATCTACAACATAACAATTCGTCAAAAAAATAACATACTCTCTGATATACTGTCATGCTCTTCGGTATGCCAACTACAAAGAATTCTCATAGCGTCACGAAAAATTCAAGCCTTTATACTGCGATTCACTACACGTGTTTCTCAGATTCTAAAATAGGGTTATATGAATCTCAAATTAGTTTACTCGAGTATCCCATTTCAATTATGCTGATATTGTTTATGGTCCGGGACTTTCGACATCTGACAGGCAGAGGCTTCAAAAACTGTAGAATTCGTGCAAAATACTCGGCACAGGCGCAAGGAGACATGATCATGTTTCTCAATATTTGAGATAACTTGGGTGGCTGTCACTAATTTGTCTTTCAGATCCGATATACTTTATGGTTCCGCCCACTGGATGTGCGTTCGTAAAATGACTATGAGAGCGAGAGAGAAAGAGAGAGAGAATTTTAAGCCTCTTCCTAGATTTGACAAGCTGTACATGATCTACCTAAACCTTGAGATTCATGAAACATCTTTTGGCTGAACCTGAACCTAAAACAGTTACTGGTACCTACTGGTTACTGCACCTAAGATTACTGATACCAGTAAACAGTATGGGAGGAACCTCTGCATTGATTCAGTGGTTGTTTCGAAAGTTTTGTCTATTTTTATGAGCCTATTTAAAACTGTTATATCTCAGTGAATACTTATTCAATTCGTTATTTGAATCAGGGCACTTTTGACAACGTAACACAAGACGGTTAATTTCGTCAGATGCTACAAATGCAATACGCTCAAAAACCAAAGAAAGCTCAGGATGTGGAGTGTACTCCAGATCACTAAGCCTAAGGATTAAGTGGGGAATGCGAAAGAATATCAGCGTGGTTCAAACAGAATTGGCTGGAATCTCAAGCGCCACAAAATAAATAACCAGGATAAGAATTTCTGACAAAAACATAACAATCTGCTCTGTTGTTGTTGTTTTAGTTGTTTCAGGGATTTCAAATCATTTTATATATTAGACAATGGAAGTTCAAACTAGTGAAATTAATCTGCACAGATAGAGGACAAGCCCTATTATCCTTGAACAGACAACGTGTTACCTCAGGGCTAGTACAAAGTACCACACGACCCCCTTTGCTATTTAAAATTTTCGAGGGGTGCTTATAATTCAGAAGGGGTGCTGGAGGGGGATAATATTTTCTTCCCTAACTTCATGCGCTCCGTGCTCTTCATCGAAATAAAATTTCTTTGTTTTATCAACGTCCTGCACGCTCATTTGCAATTCCTTCTGCACTATAGCTAACTGATCTACGCACTGAAAATAAAATGAGATTTTCTTAAAATTTTATTCATATTAGTAAGTTATCTCTAGGTTTTAATGAATCAAGCAACACAATCTGAACGTTAAACAGGAAGAACGTTAAAGTACAGTCCATTTGCCAGGATATTTGAGGAAATCCAGATAGCTGACGTTGATCCTATGTTTGATTGCTGATCATATCAAATTTCAATATTTCAAATGTTTCCGCATCATGTTTGGTCCTTCGAGCCGGGTTTCAATATTCATGTTATATTTATATATTTGACTATTTCTTGTTTTCCGTTGAGTATAATTATTATTGTTGTCATTTTTCTTATGGAAGTGATCGCCCTATTTTTTATTGTTTATCACTACCGTACCAGTAGCAATCAAACACTCGGTTGTTTTGACCAAGTTTGGTACTTCTTCTGCTCGCTGCGGTTTTGTTTTCACTTTTTTTTACAAAAATATATCGCTATTTGGAAAATCACCGCTGTGCAGCCTCTCACCAATAAGTACAGTCCATTCGCTAGGAGATTTTAGGATCTACACCTGAAAAAGCTGCCGAAAGCGATTTGGAAATCCAGGTAGGTGACTTTGATCCTATATTTGATTGCTGATCGTATCAAATTTCGATAGTTCGAATGTTTTCGCAACATTTTTGGTCCTTCGAGCCTGATTTATGTTATGTCCCGCGATACTTTGTAAATTTCATAGGGGTTGGTACTCTGTGGTAATGAGTTCATAGCTAACCCTTCAAAAACCATGAGCCCTGCAAAACAAAATCTGATATTTGCAAGGTTGATTTTCAAGACTATCGTGGCAAGGCTGTAGGTTGTATTCTAGTTCATTCTTAACCTCCTTGAGTACTGGATACAACGTTCTGTTGACCCGTATACCATACTTTCAATAGATATCAGTGGGTTCTCACCGTGAGTGGTAATGCTTTGCTCAGATAGGACAGCAGTTTCTGCATATTTTATCACGTGGTTTTTTCTGCTAAAACGTGTTGTGCAACTGCAAATTTCTCCAGTTGAATAGAAAGCAGCAGCTACGCTTGTGTTCTTGTGTGTGGTGTTCATGGTGCGTTTGGTTGGTAGTTGTGAAGTGAACTTAGCCACAAGAACAGGGAATCATGTAAACACCAGCGGATGTCAGAGACTCTTCTTTGTCCTTGACCGACCTGTTAGTGTTGCGTAGTTGATTAGTTGGTCTTGATGTTGTGAAGTTTAAACAATTTTTCAATGCGGTCCATCATTTTGTTTATGTAAGGCAAATAGACTGTGCACACTACTGCACACAACTGCTCTCTTGCGCCGCAAACTAATTGGCCTGTAGAGCTTGGTCTAGATGACAACGTTCTTCTACAAAAAATGTGGCCCACTAATCCTGATGAAACGATCGACATCATAACACGTTTTTGTTTTTGCTGAGATACCGATCAGTATGAATAGGTTCGCGATGAACTGAGTGACCTAGTTTTCCGTCAGTTTTTCTGTTGACCAGTACATCCAAAAATGGTAATTTCCCTTCCTTTTCCTCTCCATTGCTAACTGGGTGCGAGTATTAATGGAGTTGATGTGGCGTAGAAACTACTCTGGTTCATTAAAACCAACAGATAGGTTTCAATGAACCCGTGGGTTGGGCTACCTATCGGGCGCGTCCTCAGGTGGCGGATAGTGGATCGGCCAGGGGTCACCGGACTCCTGGTCAGTGGGGGGAACTAAAACCCCCCAAAAGCCTTTGCAAAACACACCACCGTGGACCAGCCTACCCAAGCTAAGGTGTAAGGAATCGTGCCGACCACTGAATGGCCGCAGGGTGATATGCGGTCACGAACTGGGCAAAACTTCACTATAATCAGCCTACCTCTGGTAATGCGAGGCTCTGCCAGAGGTGACCAACTCTTCCCTTGCTACTTGTGAGAACACACATGAATGAAACAACACTCAAGGTTGCCAGAGAGAGTGTGTGTTTGGCGAGTCTTGGCCTACACCTGCCAATATAAAAGAGATGTCTCCTAGTGACCTGTTCAGCTTTCTGGAAAGAACAGGGTGGACGATGACCTAGGAGGACAACTCCTTGGGAAGATGTACAATGGGTCACATGTGTCCTAATAAGTGCTGTGAGTCACACACCCTCCCTACTCTACAGATACAGGTTTTATTGTTCTAGAAACAGTTATTCATTGGAAATATATAGTGCTAAGATCATGATTGAAAAGAGTTGTGATGTGTCTTGAGATTTGCTTGATTTTTCCTTGACTGGTACCATGCTGAAGAGACGGTTACAAGACCAAATTGGTAATTTTCTCTGGAAAGATATTTGAGTCCTTGACGTAAGAAGTTTGAGGTTTGTCTTGTGAATCTAGTGAGGAAGGATATTATTTTTCCAAATCGTGACGACGGCCGTGGTAGCCTATGTTCTTAAATTGTTGAAAGTTTATTAGACAATGGAAGGTCAAACCTGTTACATTCGTATACGTTCATTCTCTTTCTGAGAAATAAATTCGAATTGAAAACGTCTTGATTTCAGTTGTTCCAAACTCTAATGAAATTGATCTCTTTTGCAATTCATTCCTTATTAATACCTCTAGGAATTGTCCCAAAGTTAGGTCGAATCGCGAGAGAGTAGTAAAATATTCCGAACTATTTGAATGAATACTGCATAAAAAAACACTTACCTTCTTTGCCGTTTGTATTTTATGTGCCCTGAGAATTTTAGCATCGTCCGCAATTTGCTGCTGAAATACCTCAACGGCTGCCAGACGCGCTCTCGCCAATTTCTCGTTTTCCTCCAACACTGTCCTCCACACATTCCACATATTCCTGCGGATAATAGTCAGTAATGAATTCGATTGCAATTTCGGAATATTTCACCATGAACACCTTTATTCTTTTGATTTTTGGATTGCAATTTGTGGGCTTAAAAACAAGGCGAATGTTCAAATTTCGAGGGCTACGTACATCCGATGTGCGTTTTTTTTAAGCTGCTCAACAGCTGAAACCAGCGTGACCACATTTAATTTGAGATCTACTAAAATCTACTGCAATATATTGAAGAGAAAATTTGAATTTTCGAACACTAGGTGGCGCTTGTAAAGACATTTGAATAGCATGACTGGATCTGGAAGGCCTTGGCTCGCTTACGGTTATGGCCAATGGGCGTGGTCTAATACTTGAAATAGCAAGTTGCTTTGTGTTGGTTCTTTGTTGTTGGTTATTTTGAACACCAACTATTTCAATATTTTATTAGATTTCAATATTCTAAACCAGAAATGTTTCCATATTTGAAATGAAACTTTGAATTCTTTGAAGGGTCCTTTCTTCATTCAGTGGTCGGAGATATATAGAAAACTATAACAAGCAACCGGGAAATGGATGTTTTATGATCTGTATCCATTTTGTGTTCTGTGTATCGAAGCGGGCAGAACCTAGAAACAATGAATTCTCCCATGTATTGAGCTGGACCCAATTGCGCCTGAATAGGAAGCAGCGGCCAATAAAAAACGAAGAAGAACAATTAATTCATGTCATTTGCTGTAGATGTCACCGCTTACATTGAAATGAAAATTCTATCGCCAAGGCGTCTTATCCAAATCTATCAAAATCTACCGGCGAAAATGCATCTACTGCAACTTTTCAATTTGTGTTGAAGTTGAAAATCTACCGAAACACTAGAAATCTACCCCATGTGGTCACCCTGGCTGAAACAGCTGTTCGAGATAAATGTATCAACATAAAAAAATCGCTAATCGAATATACCAAGCCCGCCAAATATTGAACATTCACCTTATTTTTTACCAGCCCATATGTATTTTATACAGGTTATTCAAAATATCGCCGGATACAATATAAAACTCACCATTTTTCTTCGCCGCCTTCCAATTTTATATCAGGAATATTTGGTATTTTTTTATTCAAATAGGCAGACGATATCTTAAGCAATGCCTGAAATGAACCGTTTCAAAAAATGAAAATATCATTTGAATAGATCTTACTTCAGAATAAGACTTTTCTATGGAAGATCTTTTGACAATGAACGTTCTGATGTCTTCGAGGAGATCGCATTCATGTTGATTCTTCAGTATGAGTTTGTTGATTTGTTCCGTATGAAGGTTTTTCAAAAATTTCACATAATTACCCTGAAACAATAATAGTTCAATTAATTTTATTTTTCAGATGTTTATTTTATTCAGTGATTCTTTTTGTCCTAATTTATTTTAGTGTTCAGTTCAATTTGAACAAAAACTGGGAAACATAAGTGTTAATTTTATTATATTTGTTATCTGGATCCTTATATTTCTTACCCATATTGTTTTTGATTATCATAATTGTTCTATTTTGTTATTGTTCTATAATTTACTTACACCCAGGGTTTTACCCTTTTACCATCAGTGTGTTTATTCATAAAGGTATATTGTAATCCAAATACTCCATTTTACGAGTATATTTATGTATTATAATTTACTGGACATTGGACATTGAATTTGAACAATATGCATTTGAACTTTATGGGAATCAGAAGGCAACTTATTTCTATTTTATGGTGCATACTAAACAAGCTTCCACTGAATATTCATGAAATACATCCTCAAGTACAACAATATACTGTTTGACTATGCAATAAATGATGTCACTTTAGAACAAAGCACAGAAACTAAAGATCTGGGCATTATATTCGATAAGAAACTTAGCTTCACGTCACAAATCAATCAAATCACATCTTCTGCAAAAAAAAATGATTGGCCTTATCTTCAAGACGTGTAGAGACTTTCAAAACCAAGAATGTTTTATGAAACTTTTTAATGCATATGTCCGATTTCGTCTGGAATATGGCTCCCTAATCTGGTCACCTATATGTATACACTGTATACAATGTGCATATACAGCAACTCGAATCTTGTCAAAGAATCTTTATGAAACACATGGCTTTCAAACTAGATAGAGCTTACCCATCCCAAGGAATTGATAATAGAGTGTTGCTAAATAGATTTGCCCTCTTATCCTTAGAAAACAGAAGAACATATTATGAATGTATCTTCATACATAAATTGATTCACAATCTGATTGACTGCTGATTTGTTATCTCAACTAGATTTTCACGAACCGAAACGAAGTAGTAGAAACGAAATTTTTTTCTATTCGCCTTAACTAGGATCAACGTGTTAATAAAATCTCCAGTTTATAACATCTGTAAAATCTATAATACCTACTTTCTATTCAGAATGTGATATTTTTGTTGTTCCATTTGGACGTTTCAAGGATATAATTCGTAACAAGTTATTTTCTATGCAAGTCGAACTAGAATCTAATTTCAACCCATAAATGAAATACTGTGTTTCAACTCTCTGCACAGTGCCAATTCTATTAGAATTCTACAGTATATGTTTTTTTTTAATATTATATGAATGTATCACTGTTTGTATAATATCTATACTACTTTCTTACTCTGCTGATTTTATATGCTATTCGTTATATTCCATTGTACTCATACTTAATCATAGCTGTAAACTTAATTATATTTGTCTTGTAATTGTGATTACTCCTGTTAGAAAATAAACTTTTTTTTTATGTTAGACGCTTACTCTGATCCGATTAATGATCGTACTAAAGCAGCCAGTCGGTCCTGCTTCATACTGTTTCTCAAATAATTGTCAACTCGTGAAAACTTCCTTCTGCGGAAGCTGTACCTACAACCATAGTCACAACCATTTTAATAGTAATGTAAATATTAGGATACATGTCTTGCAATGCATTTTTAATAATGCATTGAATCAGATGATTGGCAGATGACTTTTGAACTGACTGTACTCAGATTAACTGAGAATGGTGTAACAAACCGAAACCGGTAGTAACGAATAAAAAAGAAATCCGACAAAAGTTTTTCTATCCTATATTCAAATGAACTTCTACAAAATAAATAGGTCATCAATGGAGTATATATAGTATAGACGAGTATAGCTCATATCTTTGCTTTTTCTATGTTGAAGTACTACCCTCAGAAATTACAGTAGGTACCACAGAACCTCACTACGCTCGCATTTATGTTACCCAACCAACCTTTTTTCACTGAAAATAATCTTTTTCAGGCGAACCCTTTTCTCCTTATACAGGGTGATTCAAAAGTACTTCGACAAACTTCAGGAGGTGATTCCTCACAATATTCTAATATGAATTGTCCAAATAAATAAATGTCCGGAAACGCTTCGTTTCCAAGATACAGGATGTTGAAGTTTTATTTTTATTTTCGTTTTTTTCAAATAACTTTTGAAATACTGAACTTAATTAAACGAAACTTGGTAATAGGAGGTTTTTGAGGTGT